CATCGGAGCGATTCCGCCGGGGGGACTTCCCTCCCGGAGGGGGAAATCACCGTCATCATCATCACCAACAACTCTCCCATCTTGGGGAGGGCAATATCATCAACATCTTCAATAGCATCATCTCCTCTCAAACCCTAGTTCATCTCTTATGTTCAATCTTTGTACCGGAACTATAGATTGGTGCTTGCGGGTGACTAGTAGTGTTGATTACATATTGTAGTTGATTACTATATGGTTCATTTGGTGAAAGATTATATGTTCAAATCCATTATCCTATTTCATATCCCTCCGATCTTGAGCATGATTATCATTTGTGAGTAGTTACTTTTGTTCTTGAGGTCATAGGAGAAATCAGGTTGCAAGTAATCATGTGAACTTGATATGTGTTCGATATTTTCATGATATGTTTGTTGTGATTCCCTTAGTGGTGTCATGTGAACATCGACTACATGACACTTCACACTATTTGGGCCTAAGGGAATGCATTGTGGAGTAGTTATTAGATGATGGGTTGCGAGAGTGACAGAAGCTTAAACCCTAGTTTATGCGCTATTCTGTAAGGGACCGATTGGATCCAAAATTTTAATGCTATGGTTAGAATTTATTCTTAATACTTCTCTCGTACTTGCCGATGTTTGCGAGGGAGTTAATCATAAATAGGAAGTTTGTTCAAGTAAGAACAGCACCTAAGCACGGTCCACCCACATACCAAATTATCAAAGTAGTGAACACGAATTGAGCCAACATGATGGAAGTGACTAGATGAAATTCCCATGTATCCTCAAGAACACTTTGCTTATCATAAGAGACCGTTTTGGCCTGTCCTTTGCCTCAAAAGGATTGGTCTACCTTGTTGCACTTTTGCTACTACTACCGTTACTTGCTCGTTATAAATTATCTTGCTATCAAACTACTCTGTTACTTACAATTTCAGCACTTGCAGACATTACCTTGCTGAAAACCACTTGTCATTTCCTTCTACTCCTCGTTGGGTTTGACACTCTTACTTATTGAAAAGGCTGCATTGATCCCATATACTTGTGGGTCATCAATATGGTCATGTGAGAATTGATATATTGGTGACTGTGTCTTAAAGCAATGAAATGAAGTGAAGAGTTCAATATGGCTTCAGTACATCAAGACTTAGCATGAAGTAAAGATAGAGTTTGACAAAGATAAAGCTCAAAGGTCGAATTCCAAATGGTCAGCACGTAAATATTGCCACATGCGTTCATGTGGTATGGTAAGAAATTGTGAACTGCGTTTTGTGAAATAACTCAGGCTATGTGTGTTCTATGTCTATGTGGGTTAGCTAACTCTAATGGGCTTGCATCAAAAGAAAGATTTCAAGTAGACCATATGAGTATGATTATCAAGTTTGACAAGGGTAAGTTTCAAGAAAGGCATTCCAAGGGGAAAAAATGCTTGAAGCATGTGGATGATCACGCGATGGACATGTGAAGCTTGAAGTTCCACCCAAGTATGATGTGAACATATGAATATGGTATATAATACAATGCTCCCCATACGAATTATGAGATATTTACTTGTAGACTTAACAAAACAACTTTGATCAAGATCGCTTTGCATCTTGAGGCAAACATGGAAGTCAACATCAATCTCAAGCGGAATGCTCAATAAAAAGGTATAACTTAGCTAGGTTTTCTTTTTTACCGGTCTCAAGGTGGTTGGTGGGAGACTGGATCATAAGTTTGATAGTTGTACTATCAAGTGGGGCTCTCGAGATAGTAACCTGATCACATCGTGCGTAGAGTGCTCAAAAAAATTGCATTATTTGCATACTTCATTTATTTTGATCGTGGTTCTCTATGTGAGGCCCTTGGGCTTGTCGATAGCTTTAAAACGAGACGAAGATTACCAGAATCGGAGTTCATGTGAAAGAGTTATGCATGTTTCTATGTTTGTTGTGTTTGGGAGAGCCAGAGCCTCTGGGGCCTCGAGCCTCCGGGCTAACTTCTGGGGGACCACCAGATTAAACAAAAGGTTTGTGAAATTCAGCCCAAGATAGAGTGGAGGTTCCGAGCTACGATTTTTTGCACCTAACGACAAATTTGGTGTGCGGCATATATAAGGTCCCCTTCTTCCCCCAAAGGATGCGCAGGTATAGATCTTGAATATCTCCATTCTTTTGAGATCTCTCCTCCTTCCTTAAGCTTAAAAACTCCAATCCATTTGGCTAAAACATATCCCATGAATCTAGGGTTCATATGTTAACCTCCTCCATGGTTACTCTCCTCTCCCATCCCTCGATAGCATTAGTTGCTTTTAGTAGGATTTGTGAGAGGTATTTGAGCATTATTGTGTTCTTGCTTTGCATTTGGCATCAGTTTATTAGAGTGAGAGCTAGTGAGCATGTTACTCTTAGAAGCCACCAACTCCTAGACGATTTGGTGGTTGTTACCTCGGTGATCTATTCATGGAGATTGTGAAGAGGCCCGAATTACTCCTTCGTGATGATTGTGAAGTGGTCTTGGAGCTTGCCACCTCTGGAGGGGAGAAGGAAGCTAACCATAGTGGTTGGGAATTGCCTTCGTGGTGATATTTCAAGGGGAGAATAAGGTAAGCTTTTGTGGTGTTGGTGTGCCTTCGTGCTAACACCCATCTCTCCAACGTAGACTAGAGTATCAGTGGATACTTGAACTTTGGGTAAAAACCGGTAGTCTCTTGCCCCCCTTTACTTTATGCATTTCAAACTTGCTATTATTGATATATCTTGTGCTTGGTGTGAATTGCTAGCTTGTAACATTCATCTCCATATCTTGTGATATAACGTGTGTAAGATTGTAGTGCTTACTTGTGCTTTCTTATCACTCAATTCCATATCTTGTGATATAACTTGTGTTAGCTTGTAGTGCTTACTTATGCTAGCTTGTATTATTCAAATCCATATCTTGTGATGTAGTAACTTGTGTAAGCTTGTATTGATTCTCTGTGCTTATGTGTATCATTCATTTCAATATCTTGTGATATACCTTGCGAACTGGTCCCCCTAAGCAATGAGGTCCAAAACCCTACTGGGTTATATGTCGTCTGATTACTTGTTAAATTCAGAGCAAAGTGGAACTGTTAACTAAAATCATTTTTCTTTTACATTGCAGAAAAAATGTTCATGGTGGATGTAGGCCCTAGTACCCCCGAAGTTTGCACCATGAGGGATTGTTTGTCTTCCAAAATGCCTTCTTCCTGTTTTCAAGAATACAGACTGATGCAGGCATGTAAAAAATTCTCAGCATCGAGGCAAAGATGACATTCAGTATATAATTCAGCGAATGCTTTCTCTTGTATAAAGAAAATGCGTATACGCTTGTATTGCACCCAGTATACCTATGTACGTACATATTGTAACAGGACGTACTTTTTTTACAACTTACTTATACAAATACAAATGCATGTGCATTCGGAGGGAACAGATCAAATTATCAATTAATTAACTAATACTCGGCATATAACTATATACACATGAGCGAGGACATGGCGAAGAGGTCAATTTTTATGAAACCGATTCAAATTTATACTTACTAAGATTAAGCGATCAGGGAAACATGCTTAATTGTCAACAAAGGTGATTAATTAAGGGAAACGTTTCTGCCCGGGGCACCGGCCGAACCGTTCCGCCGGTCCCTTGCCACGCACGCGTACACGTCGCAGGTTCTGCTCCCACGTATCATCATTTCTTTTTCTTTCCTCTCTCCGCCACTCAATTCTTATCCCTTTCTTTTCTCCACCTCTCTCGTCTATTCCTCTTTCTTCTTCAAACAACCAGCCACCATCTCACATCGATCTCTCAGCCCGCCATGGCCGGCGACTGCACTTTTCAGGTGAAGATGTGTGCTGGGGAGCCCTGCGCAGGGGTGTTGTGAGCACCGCACATCGGCACTGTTAGGCCACTGCTATTTCACCATCATCGCCGCTATGGCTGCTTCCTCCTCCTCCGGCGGGGCTTGGCAAGACTGCAACGGGGGGTTATACGGCGAGTTTCGAGCAGTGAAGATGTTGGAATCGGCCACTACGGGTGCTACATCCAACGCCAAGAGATGATGTGACTGGATCATGGCACATCGAGGATTTTGCTGGATACGGCGACGGCAGACGCTACAATCAGCGGCGGCAGATGCTACAACCGGCGGCCAGGGATGCTTCAACCACCTTTTTTTTGCTACAACCCTCTACTAGTGTTTTTGTAGCGAGGTATTTTTTGCTGGAACCGGTGTAATTTTTTGCTGGAATCCGCTAATCTTTTGCTTCAACAGATTACTAGACTTTTTGTTGCTGAATTTTTTGTTTGCTGGAACTGGCTTCATTTTTTGTTGGAATCGGCTGATTTTTTGATTCAACATATTACTGGACTTTTTGTCTGCTGAAATTTGTTTGCTGGAACCGGTGTTAATTTTTGCTGGAACCGGCTCCGTTTTTTGCTTCAACCATGTATTTGAGTTTTTGCTGTGAGATTCTGTTTTGCTAGAGCACGGTGGTGCAAGTCAACTACAGCGGCGACCAACGGGAGCGAAGTTGCAATCCAACTTATTTTTTTGTCTCCGTCAGCTGATGCGTAGAATTCTTGCAAATCGGCATCCAGCAGGGGTTGGATCGGAGCTGGAACCGGCGAGTGGACGGAGGCGAGCTCCATCAGAAAAAGCTGCAACGGGAGATGGGATGGTGACCGCCGGCGCGTCACAGCGAGCTCGTGCGTCGTCTTCGCTAAGCCCGTGGGGGAGGAGGTAGCGCTGTGCGGGGGTTAGGCAGGGAGGAAGACGACTACTAGGGAGAGGGAGAAGAAAGATCTGACGGTTATACATTAAACAAATCAAGGGCCCGTATTGGACCGGCCGAAAGTTTCGGCCGGTGCGCCGGCGCCTATCAGTCGCCATTAATTAATCAAGATGCATGGGAGAGTGGTAGACTATGCAGATCTCTAACTACTACAGATTTAATTAACTAACAACATTTAATCAACTGGCGATCTGAATCGCCTGAATCAATCAGAACCAGACGCGGCATTCGATGGGGTGGAACTCCGGCTGGCCGTCGCTGGCGGGCGCGGAGGCGGAGGCGTTCCGTCGGTGGAGGATGAGAGGGCAGTCAACCTTGGGCTTTGGCCCCGGCACCCTGAAGGCCCACACATTGAGCTTCATCTTGGCGCTGAGCTTGATGTCGACTGAGAAGGAGGCGTGGTCGATGGCCTCTTTGCGGAACCCCGCGGCGGCGACCCCGCCCTCGAGCGGGTGATCGCCCGCGAAGGCCAGAGGCACGACGGTGGTCTCGCCGGTGTCCTGGTAGAAGTCCGGGTGGTCGGCGTGGGCGAAGCTCTGGCCCTGGTAGTAGGCCTCGGCGACGACGGACTGGTAGTGGATGGCGATCCGGGAGTTCGGGTTGCGGACGGAGAGCGCGACAGAGAGGTTGTAGCGGAGGATCCAGGTACTCGGGGTGAGGGTGAAGTCGTCGAGGTCGGCGGACGCGACGGTGGCTTGGATGAGGTGCGGTCGGAAGAGGAGATAGAGCGCGAGCACGACGACGCCGGTGATGACGAGGATGGTGGCGAGGACGCTGAAGATGCAGCTCAGCAGGCCGCAGAAGAGGCACCGGCACGGGCAGCACAGACACGACGACACGGTGCTCGTCTTGCCCATCGATGGGTTGGTTCCTTCCGGCGGCCGGCCAACTCGATCGATCGAGGTCTTGTGATACGAGCTAGCTGGTGAAGAAACTGAGAGGATGTTTCATGGCGATTGGTGTAGAGATCGAGACAGACATGAGGTAGTAGCTAGTGGTCGGAGGCACACTCGCCGATCGCCACTTTTGTAGGACAGGAGTGTACGTGTGATCGTGCATGCAAGACCAGGAGACAAGAGAGGTTTCAGAGCTTGCGTTGGCCGGGTCTTCTGTTCGTGCTCGTGCATGCGCGCGCTGTGTCTTGTTTTTTCTTTTCTTGAGTGGACGCGTGTTCTGTCGCTCTTTTTTTAAAGAGAGAGTACGCAAAAACGTACCATATTTTCATAGGACAACGCGGTGCCGGTGCGCCGGCTCAAATTTGGACCGGTCGGTTGTCGATCGTACGATACAGTCATTTTTAACCGTACAATATAGTTTTTTCTTCGTCCCCAAAAGTCAAACATGCAGGAAAAAGGTTCTACCAAACTAGTTAGGCGTGCTTGCCGGCCGGACTCCACACGCGCTCACCAGCCGCCCGCACTTGTCCTCGGCTTCTCCTGCTTGCCGGTCATTCGTGCCACCGTGCTCGCCGGCCGCTCGTGCCACTCGCCTCGGCTGCCTCCGCTCGGCATGGTTGCAGCTCGAACATAGGCGGGTTCCACAGCACGGTCGACATGGTTGTAACATCCCCGATGCCCAACTTGCACTGCCATGAAAAAAAATCTAAAACAACAAAAAAAATATTACTTGGTTGAAGCAAAAACATTTGCCGGTTCCAGCAAACTTAATGGTGGTTCCAGCAAAAATCGAAACCAAACAAAAATCTCCTGTACTGGTTGAAGCAAAAAGATTTGTCCGTTCCAGCAAAAATTAATCGTGGTTCCAGCAAAAAAAAACTTCGGTAGTGGATTGTAGCAAACGAATCAGCCAGTTCCAGAAAAGTCGACGCCAGACAAAAGTCTCCAGTACTCGTTGAAGCAAAATGATTTTTCCGGTCCAACAAATATTAATCATGGTTCCAGCAAAAATCTGAGCAACAAAAACTTCAGTACTCGTTGAAGCAAAAAGATTTGTCGGTTCCAGCAAAAACTAAACATGGTTCCAGCAAAAATCTGAGCAACAAAAAACTTCAATAGCGAATCCTAGCAAATGAATTATCCCGTTCCAGCAAAAAGTAATGCTAGTTCCAGCAAAAACAACCTTGCAGCAAAAGAACACCTGCGCCTATTGTAGCAAAAGAAAAAGCCAGTACCAGCAAAAACAAACATTGCTTCCAGCCAAAAAACGCATCGCGTGGTGAAGGCGCGTCCGGTTCAAGCATTAGGGGACACTGCTTCCAGCATCAGGGGATGCCGGTTGCAGCTTCCCAGTTGGCTGATTCCAGCTACGAGGCGTGCTGGTTCCCACATCGCTTCCCCAGCAGGCGCCGGTCGCCGCCGTCGCGCACCATGGTGATGCAGCGGTGCCTGATCTAGCAGCCCGGTCGTCGTGCCCATTGCTGGCAGCTCCAAAAGATGAACGGCAAGAGAGAACATCAACCTCCTTTCCAAGGAGAAGAGGGTGTGTGTCCCACATGTATTTGAGCTCAACCTCGTGGGATCCATGGCGACTGCGCAGGGCATGAATGAAAAAACAAAAAACACCAACGAACTCATCCCCTCTCATGGATCTATGGTGGAAATGTTGTGGGGAGCAGAGAAGCAACAAAAAACAAGCTCAATTTCATGGGGATTGTGTGTGGATTCCTGGAGAGAGCACACAAAGGAGAGGGAAGAGAGATTGTGGACGAGGGGATTCAAGGATGAGCAGCACGGAGACGTCTTCGTGTGGTCTCCAGAGACTGCGAGGGGATAAGATGGAAGCGGTGGGGATAGAGAGATAAGCTTTGTGGGTGGTGGGTCAGGGTGCCTAGCGACGCGACCGGCCGAGCGTTCGGCCGGTGCGCCGGACCCAAACGTTTCCCATTTTCATACTACAAGCCAGAGAACAATTATAAGAGGCTACCTCTCACTGCGAACAACAAATGTAGTACAAACATCACACCCAAGCTAATCCAAAAAGATCCATCGCACATATTACAAACACAACATGAAGGGACCTACCCTGACCAGAGCATCAAAGCCACGTCTCTTCCAAGGCCGATCACCCTGAAGAGCAAGAATTTCAGCCGTACTTTCCTTGCCGACGCATCAACCACCCTCGAATGCCGAAAGAAGATGGTGAGTGGGTGGTGGGATTCGGTTGGTCCCGAGAAAGCTATTATCTTGGTGTCACCGGCATCGGCGTACATTGTGCCCACAAACCTCTACTCGGACAAGCGGCACGCACCAGAGAACTGCATCACAAAACCTTCAAGCCATGTCTCCACACATGATGCTCCCAACAAACGAACGATGCCGAGACGCCATCGTCGCCGGTCCAAGAGCTAGGCTTTCGCCCGGAGACAACAATCCAATCAAGAAGGGGGAGATGCCGATGAAGGAAATATGCCCTAGAGGCAATAATAAAGTTGTTATTTTATATTTTCTTATTCATGATAAAGGCTTATTATTCATGCTAGAATTGTATTGATGGGAAACTTAAATACATGTGTGAATACATAAACAAATACCGTGTCCATAGTAAGCCTCTACTAGACTAGCTTGTTAATCAAAGATGGATAATGTTTCCTAACCATAGACATGTGTTGTCATTTGATAACGGGATCATATTATTAGGAGAATGATGTGATGGACAAGACACATGTTAGCTTAGCATTATGGTCGCTCAATTTACTGCTATTGCTTTCTTCATGTCAAATACATATTCCTTTGACTATGAGATTATGCAACTCCCGGATACCGGAGGAATACCTTGTGTGCTATCAAACATCACAACGTAACTGGTGATCATAAAGATGCTCTACGGGTATCTTCGAAGGTGTTTTTGACTTGGCATAGATCGAGATTAGGATTTGTCACTCCGAGTACCGGAGAGGTATCTCTGGGCCCTCTCGGTAATACACATCATAAGAAGCCTTGCAAGCAAATGACTAATGAGTTAGTTACGAGATGATGTATTGCGGAATGAGTAAAAGAGACTTGCCGATAACGAGATTGAACTAGGTATAGAGATACCGACGATCGAAACTCGGGCAAGTAACATACCGATGGACGAAGGGAATTACGTATTTTGTCATAACGGTTCGACCGATAAAGATTTTCATAGAATATGAAGGAGCCAATATGGGCATCCAGGTTCCACTAATGGTTATTGACCAGCGAGGTGTCTCGGTCATGTCTACATAGTTCTCGAACCGGTAGGGTCCGCACACTTAACGTTCGTTGACAGTATAGTTATATGATTTGGTGACCGATTGTTGTTCGAAGTCCCAGATGAGATCACGGACATGACAAGGAGTCTCGAGAGGTAAAGATTGATATATAGGATGATGGTATCCGAACACCGGAATAGTTTCGGAGTGCACCGGGTACTCATCGGGTCACCGGAAGGGGTTCCGAGCACCCCCGACAAGTGTATGGGCCTTATGGGCCAAAGGGGGGATAGACCAGCCCACAAGGGGGCTAGTGCGCCCCTTCCCTTGGCTGGCTGGCCCTATGGGAAGGAAAGGGGAGGGTGGCCCCTCCTTCCTTTCCCTCCTCAGGAGAGAAAGGAAAGGGGGGGCACCTCCTCCTTCCTTCCTCCCGCACTCCAAATAACGAAGGGGGCGCCACTTGGGGGAAGACCCCAAGTAGGATTCACCCTACTTGGGGGTGCCTCCTGGCTGCTCCCTCCACCCCCACCTATATATATGTGGGAGGGGGCGCCTAGCACAAGACACAACATTATCTTAGCCGTGTGTGGCGCCCCCCCTCCACCGTTTACACCCCCGGTCATATTTTCGTAGTACTTAGGCGAAGCCCTGCGGAGATAACTTCACCATCACCGTCACCATGCTGTCGTGCTGCCGGAACTCGGCCACTACCTCGTTGTCTTACTGGAACAAGAAGGCATGGACGTCACCGAGCTGAACGTGTGCTGAACGCAGAGGTGTCGTACATTCGGTACTCGATCGGTTGGATCGCGAAGAAAGTTCGACTACGTCAACCACGTTGTCAAATGCTTCTGCTTATAGTCTACGAGGGTACGTAGACACACTCTCCCCTCCTTGTTGCTATGCATCTCCATGGATAGATCTTGCACGTGCGTAGAAAAAATCTTTGTTTTCCATGCAACGTTTCCCAACTGTGGCATCATGAGCCAGGTCTATGCGTAGATGATATGCACGAGTAGAACACAAAGAATTGGGGGTGGTGATAGTCAAACTGCTTATCACCAACATCTTATTTTTATTTGACGGTATTGTGGGATGAAGCGGCCCGAACCAACCTTACATGCCCACGTACATGAGACCGGTTCCACCGACAGACATGCAACTAGTTTTGCATAAAGGTGGCTGGCGGGTGTTTTCTCCTACTTTATTTGAATCGAATTTGACTACGACCGGTCCTTGAAGAAGGTTAAAACAACAAACTTGATGAATCACCGTTGTGGTTTTTGCGTAGGTAAGAACGGTTCTTGCTAGAAGCCCATAGCAGCCACGTAAAACTTACAACAGCAAAGTAGAGGACGTCTAACTTGTTTTTGCAGGGCATGTTGTGATGTGATATGGTCAAGACATGATGTGATATATGTTGTTATATGCGATGATCATGTTCTGTAACTTATCGGCAACCGATAGGAACCTTAAGGTTGTCTCTTTATTGTATGAAATGCAATCGCCATGTCGTTGTCTTACTTTATCGCTATGCGTTAGCAATAGTTGTAGAAGCAATAGTTTGCAAGACGACCACGATGCAAGGATGGAGATCAAGGTGCCAAGCCAGTGATTATGGAGATCATTATGATGCTTTGGAGATAGAGATCAAAAGCACAAGATGATGATGGCCATATCATGTCACATATTTTGATTACATGTGATGTTTATCCTTTATGCATC